CAGTAGGGAAGCAAATTATCTCTGCCGTGGTGCAAGTAATCTTGTTAGGTTTTTTTTTATAGAGACTTGTCTGTTTGTAGGTGTGTAAATACAAGACACTGACCATGGATAGAGGACATTTACAGAAGAAGGGAAATTTTAGACATGGTTTATGTGTGAAAATAAAATAAAATACATTTAAAAAAAGGAAAAACTCAACCGACTCCAAACCACCACACTGGAGCTAGATGAGTAAAAGCCACCAATATACTAGCCTATACGTGTTGTATTCGTACGTAAACAGTAAATCATTAAGAACATATTCTCTCAAATGTAATAGATTCATTTGGGTAGATTGCCATAGATGTCTCCTTAAACAAACACCAAATGTTTTTCATCTAAGCATTGTCCTTGATTCCCAAAAGACCCCAATAACAAGACTGAGTCCTCCTATTTATGTCTGTCAAAAAAAGAGACAATATTATTCAGCTAAATTCTTTAATTAGACCCAGCAATCTCAGTCTGAATTATATGCTGGATGCATTTAACTGCATGCTTTTTGGGCAACTAAAGTAATTACACACAATCACAGCACAGGCAAGTGCTTCAGTGCGTACGCTTGACTCATAAAAGTAACCTCCTGGCCGTTATTATTCTATGAAATTTATTTCCTCTTCCTAGCACTCTGGTGAAATGCATCATCTTCTTTTTGGATGAAAAATGTGCTCCAATCTCTGCATGTTACCTTTGTAATGAGATGTTTCCATGTATGCACGGCAACAGCGCTGTACAGTGAGAGAGATGATAAATGCCAACTAATGAGTGACACTTCCCTCAAGACAACAACGTTATCATCTAAAACCACCAAGGAAGTGACTTTCTGGTTATACAGTAGCCAATATTAGAACATTTGCTTTTTCTGCTGAGTAGAACAGTGCTTTTTAACAAAAGGAACCATGTTATCTCCAGGAAAACAACTATGTAGTTTATCTTCTAAAAAATAAATAATACTAATTCATTTACTCTTTAAATAAATCCAGGCATGTGGTAGATAATTCAATTAATGACTCCGTGTATAATGAAATGTTAGCACGATATTGGCCTATAAGACAGTCCTGCTTACAGAATCTGTCCTCCTTTTAAAAGCATGAGTGCATGTGTTGTTTGAAAAGCTTTTCTAGATCATTCTGTAAAAATCCTCTGTGTGAGATTCCATGAAAACACATTAGCACATGAAAACATAACACATTGCCGTAAAACCACATTAACACATTCACCCATACGGATAATTTTTCCGGTGTGTGAGGGAAGAAAGGTGTTTCTCTGTGTGCATTAATATCAAGGAAACGTGGACATCAGTGCTTGAAAAAAATAATCACAAACATCATGTACATTGAAAACATCACTACACGGACAGGCGGTGTGCAGGGATAATAAAGCAGGGACCAGGTTTTTTTTTCTGATGGCGCAAAAGAATCCAGCCTCGTCCTTGATAGTTAAATTGATAAATATTATATTACGTCAAAAACCAGAAAACACTCTTTACTATTATTTTACAACCTTGAATGAATAAATAAGGCTAGAAAGTATAATTTAGAATGCTTTGAAAACCTATTTATTTATTTACCTGTGCCCCAGTGTGGGGTATGTATGTACAGCAGGTAAACATCTCTTTGAGGGATTTGATTTGCTGCATCAGTGGCAAAAGAGGTGACAGTAGCACCTGGATTGAACGTAAAGATCTGAGTGACACTGAAAATAGGTTTTATGGAGCATGCTAAATTATACTTGTGAAGCTTATTTAGACTGTGAAGTGGCTCTCATGTCTCATTTGACCAGCATTCATAATGACCTTCCATAAAAAGTACCTAAGCACAGAAATGACACTTCTGCTGCCACAGAGGCCACAGTGAGCTGCTGATATACCCCTTGTATTTGTATTTTGCATTTGAATGATGCTTTATGGAGGAGGTACAGTATGTGCTATTGTATGAGCTACAGAATATGAATCTAAAATGGCATCAATTATTAAATAAATGTTTAAACAAATTAAAATCAACTTAAAAAGTGATGTGATGTTATTTATCTCAGTTGCTGTCTACGTGTGATTGTAGATGATTTAACATTTAAATCATCTTGATTTCACTAATAAATATCACCTCAGAGCTCCTTCATGTCATTTGGCCGAGCCTGTTGCATGAAAATGTTCACTACCTTAGCCTTCCTAAAAGTGCAACATGTTGCACATTCAAACAACAAATAACCCTATTTTCTCCTTGGCCTTTTCATTTAAAATAAATTATATGTCTTTCTGTGCTCAAAAGGTGCAAGATTTTGGCCAGCTCAGGAGGAAAATGCCGCCCACCTCTTGTGCTGACTCAATGCTTCTCTCCGTGGAGGTGTCACTTCAATGCCCAGGTCAACACCCTCTGGCTTCTGTACAGATTTTCTTTTTATTTGACACTTATTTGTGTAATATTGTGGGATCCTCTCAGCTCACAAATCTCAGCATGAAACTTGGCTCTACAGGAAAAATGGTCAAAAATGTGACATTTCATAAACATACCTTTTAATAATCAGACACAAGGCTGTGTATTATTAAAAGAAGAAAGGAATAGAGAAGGTTGAGAAGTGACCTTTCTGTTTCCATGATGTGACTTTTAGTGATTTCCTTCAAATAAGTACAGTGGGTGCGCAGACTGTGAATGCTGCCTGCGGTGACCTGAACTGAATTGTAATGAGTTCTGCTCTGTTCTGCTGCTGACAACCAGATATGTAAGGGGGAAACAAAACAAAACAACACACACACACACACAAACTAATTAAATTTTAAATTAATTCTCCTTCCATTGTCTCTTGTATGTCAGTGACAGGTCTATATTTTATATTCATATTTTGTAATGACTGAAACGTTATAGTGGAAAACAATAATATGTTTATTGCTCCAGAGACTGGTCTTGAGAATATAGGCCGGTCGGCTCAGTTCACACTGGGACTGCTGACTGTTTAAAGGGACAATCTGCCCTAAAATATGGTTTTCCCAGAGAATTTTATTGTTATTTTGAAGGTACAGCCTTTTGCTAAGACTATTGATAGAATTAAGATCATTTGTTAGACACAATTGCTATAAACGTTAACACAATCTAACTTTTACAAAACTTTTATGTGGTCAAAAAGTATGAACACCTGTCCTCATTCCAAAACCATGGCTTTAAAATATTGCTATAAAAATTTCTCTTAAAAAGGCTCAGAAATGAACCCAGAAGACTGATTGATGAACCTGATTACTCTTGTACTTTTTCATGCAGTTCCAGCTTCACAATTATAAGAACTTTCAGTTTTTCTTTTGTCCTATGTGAGACTAAACTGAATATCTTTGTAGAATAACAGATTATAAATTTGGTTAATTGAGGATGAATAATGAAAATGAGTTTTACTTTCAGCTACATGCAAAATGTGTTCGGGGGTGGTTGAGGTCAGGGCTTAAGAAAAGTCCTTATGGACCTGTCTTTGTGCAGAGAGGCACTGTTGTGTGAAGGTCCTCCCACAAAGTTGGAAACACTGTCTGCTGGAGCATTAATATTCTCCTCAACTGGCAAAAACAATGCAAAACTGTCTCAGAACAACAGTACAAAAACAAATATGTGGACAAAAGTGTGCACATACAGTACCAGTAAAGCTAGTGGAACTAAGCCTCTAACAAGCAGAAATGTGTAAATGTTTTGACATGATCTCCCAAGCTGCATGATTAAAGCTCAGCACAGAATGGCAGGGTATCCTCCAAGCAAATGTGTGGGCTTGGGCACTTAAACCTTGCCCTTCCACAGTGATTCAGCCAGCAAGGATGTACAGTGCATAACATTACAAAACATTACACACCAAAGCTAACAGCTGGGCTGAGAGCCACGTAGTCAGACCAACATCTCCAGAGGCAGTGTCAGATCAACGCAAAGCACAAGTTTCTTACTTAGAGCAATACACAACGTTCCCCAGGGTTTTGAATGAAATAAGAGTTTAAGGAAAAAGGCACTGTGTTGGATTTCTGGGGCTGTGGCTGTCTCCTTCATTCCGGAAATATGCAATGCGTTTCCATAGTAATGATGAGCCCATTCACTGACATGTAATTTCAAAAACCCTCTGCCTCCATCCAGAGGACAAATTACATAATTACACAATATTGGTTTTTGGCCATTTTCTTTTTTATTTGAAAGACTAAAATTAAAAACACCAACACACCAATGGCAGTGCAATTTAATATAATCAGGCCCGGTCAAGTCAGGCCTGTTGAATATTATTAATTTATCCTGCCAAACAAATCAATCCTGTCATGTTTTTAAGTTAACTTATTAAGGGTATCTGTGCTATGCAGACTCATATATTTTCCATTCGTGCGGTAGAGACTATTTTGTTTCTCTCACGTATACTCCTACTATACCAAGTCTTTTCAGTCAGTGATAAACCCTGATTTAAGACCGACCAAAGTAAGATCAGCGCTGATGCTGCATGTACAGTTTTTATGTAGACTATATTAATATCGATCTTTGACCACTAATCATAAGACATGGGGACAAATAAATGGGCTAATGTGCCTTCCAACGTGGAACATATTGTAAAAACATATATGCGCATTTTACTGTGTGATACGTTATAACGAATGAGGCGAGGGTCTGTATTAGCTGATATTAACTATTAATCAAACAGGATTTCAGACTTGACAGACTTTTTCGCTTACAGTAATATTCAGTTTGTTCACTTAAAAGATGCAACAATCTGGATGTCACATATGTGCTTACTGCATTTGAATAAAGTATGACAAGTAAAACAGTGCAACTATCGCTGCAATGCAGACACGAGAAACGTCTTTGCTGATCGACTAAAGACACACGCCTGTCTTTTGACAGAAAACAGGAGAGAAAACAAAGCAGATCAATGTCACCCAGCAGTTAAGGAAATACCAACCACATAGTTCAGTAATTATCAATGTAAAAGTCTCCAGCACCTCTCTACGTTTGTTTAAACTGTTATAGAATTTACAGTTTACGGGCCATAATAATACTCAAATCAGGGGAGAAACCCATCAAGTCAGTAGCGCTCTTGCATTGGCCAAAGACCAAATCGCTGAACGTGATTGGCCCCTTTGTGTGCGTCGTCGTAACCGTTCCGACCAGAAACAAGGCCACTCGGAAAACCCGATACCGCAAAGGTAACTCGTTGTGTTGTCTAGCTTCATTTAAATAATCGGATTTAACCGTTTAAGGCGATTTTGAGTGGTTTAAGTGTATATTTCTGGTAGGTAGTGAAGATAGAATGATACCCTTCTATTGTTAGTTTCGTCTGTTTATCCAAGTATTTTCTTCACACGTATGTGTGCTAGCTAATTTGCTAACATGTTACCGGGTAGCAAGTAACGTTAGTATCTGCTGCTGTCATTTAGAACTACGATTTATTTTCACAAGAGTGACTACTTTGTCTTCGTGCCGTAACATAAATCCAGCTGCTTTTAGTTATTTCCCTGCGGTTTATTTGTGTTTGATAAATGATATCTATTGTAGCTAACTAGTGGAGCAGTGCAAGAGCAGTGTTGTTCTGTTGTTGTTTATGAAATGCGTTATCCTTAATAACCTAAACTCAGACAGTCATATCTGTTACTCCTAGTTGTAACTTAATATCCATCTAATTTAATGTCAGACCACAACCACAGAATGCAGTGCAATACCTGTAAATATACATTGTACATATAGATCGCAGAATCCAGACTGTGTGTGCGTGTTTTTTTTTTTTTGTGTTTGTTTCTGAATCTGGACCTTGAGTCTGTAATAAAGTGTCATTCATGTATACAAATTCCCCACTCACCCCCCACTTTGGGGCGGTCTTGTATTCCTTCCTTCAAGCTCGGGTCCTCTACCAGAGGCCGGGGAGCTTGAGAGTCCTGTGCAGTATCTTAGCTGTTCCTAGGACTGCACTCTTCTGGACAGAGATCTCAGATGTTGTTCCTGGGATCTGTTGGTCCCACTCTCCCAGTTTGGGGGTCACAACCCCCAATGTTCCTATTACCACGGGGACCACTTGTGCCTTCACTTTCCACATCTTTTCTAGCTCTTTTTTCAGCCCTTGGCATTTCTCGTGTTCCTTCTTCCTGATGTTGCTATCGCTTGGGCTCGCTACATCTATCACTACGGCCTTCTTCTTCTGTTTGTCCACCACTACAATGTCCGTTTTTTTTTTAAATCTCTTTACTAATCCACATTCCCTTGCTTGTTGACATGTATGTACACATTGAGAGCCAATGTACCAGAGTCAAATTCCTCGTGTGTCCAACACACCTGGCCAATAAAGCTGATTCTGATGAAACACTATTTGATGGGGAAACAGATTTTGGACATGCAACTGGAAACTACTCTTCCATAGTACAGAGTTGGTGCCAGGGACTTAAAAGCTAGTCTGTTATGTGATTTGGTCTCATTGTTGGGAATTTCTGTGGAAAGTGTGAAGTAAATATCAGTTTTAACTTGATTCTCCTGTCTTGTCCACAGTCATGTCCTTCCATCAGGATTCGGGGGGTCCCAGGGGAGCAATCCTCACAGGCCAGCACAGCTCCCCTCAGAGCTACCGCCCCACCAACCTGAGGCCGCCTGCTCCCCAGGCACCCATTCCCCCATACCACTATGATCCACAGACCCCTCCCAGTTCAAACTACCATGGAAATAGCAGCTACATGCCTCCACACTCTGACTTCATGCAGTACCCTCCTCCTGCACCTTCCCAGATCCCCGGTTCTATTAATCAGTGCCCAGTGCGGCCACCTTTTCCCAAGTCCCCAGTTCGGCAGGGCTTCCCTGAAGCCCTGCCAAGCTTTCCACCTCCTCCCTTGCCCAGCTCCACAGGTGGTCCAATGCAGGGCTCTCCAATGTCTGCTCAGAATCCCTACCATGCTTATATGATGCCACCTGTGCCCCCACCTCCATTACCACATCCACCAATGCCTCCTCCCATGGTTTCTCAGCCTATGAGCTACCACCCTCCTTACTCAATGAACTACCCCCATCCTCCTCACCCCCCTTTCCCTCCTCCCACCTTCAGCCCTGGCTACACCCATAGCCTCAGCTCCTTCAAACCAGACCACAGCTTTAGGCATGGGCAGTACAAATATGAGAAGCCCATGGACAGCAGGAGGTCTCCCGAAAGAGGGTATCATCATGATGACCACAGGCAGAAGGGCTATAGCTATGGTAACCATGGGGATAGGCACAAAATGGAATTTCCTGGAGAGAGGAAAGATCGAGAGAGGAGTCTAGACAGGCGTGGCAGGCCAGAGGGTGCAGGATGGCACAGGTCTGAATATGACAGAGGCCGGGATCCCCCGAGACACAGGAGCAGGGATCACAGCAGGTACATACATCAGAGATGCTTCATCAATGAGATCTATCTGTGAAATGATTTCATTGTACTACTCTGTGTGTGTTTGCTCACAGAGAGAGATATCGTCACAGGGAAAGTCAGAGATCCCAGTCGCCCGACAGGCACAGAAAGAGGCCTCGAAGGTACACATGTAGCCCCATAGTTACTTTACGTATCCAGCTTTATAGTATATCTTATAATCGTATATCTTTGTATTTTACAGCTGTTACACACAAAGAGACTGAATTTTATACATTTCTCTTACTGCTCACTGTGTTGATTGTTCTTGTTATTTGTAGTCGGTCAACAAGCAGAGACAGGAAACGTGGTCGCTGGGAAGAAGAGAGGGACAGGAGGTCAGAGTGCTCCTCAGGACTGAGCAGAGAGCGCAGCTACTCATCTGTCAGGAGCAGGGATTCTGAAGAGGCCTTCGGCGACAGAGAGCGAGAGAAGATGAAAGAGAAGGGTGATGATGAGAAAGAGGAGGAAGAGCTGCTGAAACCTGCCTGGAACCGCTGCACCCATGCTGAAAACTACTACTCCAATGACCCCATGGACCAAGTGGTACTGATGGTCATAATTATACCTTGCCTACTGTACATTCAGTTGCTAACTGTTGATTGTAATATCTGGCTGTTATTATATGCTTGGTATCCTTTTGTCCATAACCATAAACACATCCATGCTTGGAGCTTTGTCATAGGTAGTTTAAACAAGAGAATTACTTATTTCGGCTTATTGGATTTAACACATTGCCCATTAATAGTGAGCGTAGACTTTTGTTTGATCAGTTTTCTGTTTGATTAAAAGTTTGGTTTGATTTGAAGCACAGTGACTCAGATTCTGTGTATTTTTCAGCGTTTCAGTTATAGCAATCATGCAGACACCTCAGTCACCCTTTGGAGCTCACCCACTGAGGTGCTTTGTGCTGTCTTTGAATCTTTTGAATAGCACCTTTATCTCCTCTAAAACTTTGGCATTTCCATGTAGTCTCTGAGTGCTTGCTTCATGCTGTTCTCAGCTACTTTCTTCAGACTCATTACAGGTTCTTATAGAGACCTGACCTGTCCTTCTGTAAGGTGAATTGAAGGAAAATGTCAAGCCTAACTTTATTTCTTTGCCCCTCCATTAACACATTTAGTACTGTAGTATCTCAGAATATTCTGCTGTAACACTGAGGACGCTGCCTGTGGGAACTAGTTACTGTAGCTGCTCCAAAAGTGAGTTGGATCACACTGATGATCTGTGGCACTGAGAGAGCAGGACACAGTGGTGTTATCTTTGTGAGGAGGGAAAGAATCTCTTGTTGCATTATTCTGAATATCATTATTTTCTCATTTAGTGACAGTTGATGTCTTGACTCAACTTTTCATGTGTGCGTACATGTGACAGCTTTACAACAGCAGAGGTCTCATATCACCACTATGATTTTCACTGACCTTTTAGAGCCACCTTCAGTATGAACAAGTGAAAGAAAATTAGCTGATGGTCTATGAAGAGGCTATTCATATAACTGCATCATACTCGGAGCTCTGCTGAGAATCCTTGTTACTCGTTATGTCCCCTTGATCTGCCTTCATTTCCTATACTCTGTCCATGGAAGGCATTAAATATCACAAAGGCTTATAGTATATTAAACAAATGCCACTTTATGATGTTATCCAGGCATTTGTTGCAACTTATTTTATAGGATAGAAAAAAAAATCAGCTGTCATAGACAGTCATGTATTTCATTTCAACATGTTTTTTTTCAGGGAGACTCTACAGTAGTGGGGACCAGTAAACTCCGGGACCTGTATGAACTCTTTGAGGAAGAGCTGGTGAGGAGACAAGAACGAGCCAAGGCTGCTCGACCAAAATGGGAGCCACCCAAGACCAAACTGGACGAGGATCCAGGTGGGTCGTGCTGCATAAAGAGTTGGGTGTACTTATGGAGGAACACTTCAGATGTAAAAGCACTGTCACATAATTTTGTTAAACTAATAAGGCAAATCAGTGCAGAACATGCACAGTAATATTGACTTTTATTTGAGGTCTAATTTTGTAGTGCTAAATAGTTTATATTTGTTACCTGGACCAGTCAGTGATTGACCCCTGAATTCAACTTTTACCTGACGAGTTATGTAGTCTGAACTGTACTGAATAAATTTCACAATTAAATAACAATGTGTAAACAGGTTCTGACTTAACATTCATGTTCTTAATAAGAATGGAAGACAGCTTAGCTAAAAGCTACAAACTGTACAGCTGAGTGGTAATTATAGTCCTCATTTTTGTGTGAGGTTTCTCTGTAGCAAGCATGAATGATAAGTGTGAAAGAAACAGAAAAGAACCGGTGTCACTACTGGCAGCTGTGCTGTTCTTTTAATCTCACAGATGTAGTCAAGTGTACATTTGGCTAGTAAAGCAGAAATTGTAATGAAGAAGAAACAATAGGAAATAAAACTTTGCTGTATACTCAGCACTGTGTAGATGAATATTCCTCAACACGAGCTGGCAAAGCCAGAAAGCACACACTGACAGATTACTGAGGCTTTATGTTGTATAATACTTTGAGGGGCACAGCTGAGCAATGAAGCTTTACCACTCGACCAGCAGCAGCTCAGTGAATTATGTTTCTGTTGTCAGTCCTGTAAAGTTCTAATGATTAAAGCCCTTTTTTGTGCTTTGGTTCCAGACGACAGCAGCAGCGACTCCGAGTGTGAGTCAGATGGTGAAGGAAGCACCTGCTCCAGCAGCACTGACTCAGAGGTTTTTGATGTCATCGCTGAGATCAAGAGAAAAAAAGCTCACCCTGACCGCCTGCATGAGGAGCTGTGGTACAACGACCCAGGACAGGTCATTTATTATGTTACTCAACAAAATTCTGTTGTTCTGTCGTCTACATTAATCTTGTGTAATCTGAAACAGACCTGACATGTATTAAAACAATGAACAGATTAATCCAACACCATTTCTGAATCGCCTTAAACTATAGGTGGGGGACTCGGGTCACATGACTTGACTGGAGTCAGATTTAAGTCGCAAATTTGAGGACTTGAGACTTGTTTGACTAACACTGGTAAAAGGCTAGATCTTGACTTGGTATTCACGACTTATCTTGACTGAGACTTCAGACAGATGGCTTGAAACTACTTATTGTTTTATTAAATATTTGCACTTTTCTAGATATTGAGAAGTTGTTTTTATTTTGAAACACAACTAGGCGATTTCTAGTGCAATGTGTTGCAGAATGCAGCAGTCCAGCAAAAGGCAACGCATGTCTCAGGATGTAGCTATCGTGGAGGGGCCTAGCCTATAAAAAATAAAGTTTGGATTCAAGGATTATGTTTTCAGTGACTGTAGTAAGAAGAGAACAGTGGTATGCAATGTGTGCAGCGCAAAGATCGGTGAGACGACCAACAGAACATCCAACTTCATTAGTCACTACAGAACTCACAAAGAAAGGCAGGAACAGGAATGTGCGACATTATGTTATGTTAGGAAATTTATTTTTAGCTTCATCATATTTAGCTTCCTGACAATAGCAGAATTTTGTTCACATCTACTATTAATAATTGTGTATATATGTAAATCCCAATCAGTATGACTTCTGACTATTACTGTGCCTCGTTCTGTGCCAGGCTATGTGAACAGTGCATGGTGCTCCAGTGAAGTCTAATAAGCGTGCCAGATGAATAACAGTTAAACTGTATAATCCACTACATTTAAAATGTAGTTGTAGGCCAACAATTGTACTGATTCCATCTAGTCAGAGCTTGACACATCACAAAGCTTAAAACTCAAAAGTCCAGCGGAGAAATAAAGGTCAGGAGCAGGGAGTTTAGAAATGTAATGTCTTCAACGGTCCATGTGTTATACATGGCAAGTGGAGCAGTTGTGTCTGATTTGCGTGTTTTCTTCCTGTCCAGATGAATGATGGTCCCCTGTGTAAGTGCAGTGCCAAGGCCAGACGTACAGGGATCCGCCACAGCATCTACCCAGGGGAGGAGGTATGATATGCTGTGAATAAATCACCCTTTCATCACCTTGAAGTTGTGCTACACAGGGGCAAGGACATTATTCTAGTCAACCTAAATGTGTTCTCTATACAGAAGCCTTTTTTATTATTGTATTAAAGGGACATTAGGTGAGATTTTATCATCCCTAAGAACCAAATGATGAACTGTAAGAGCTTGACAGTGGAACTGATCTATACCAGTGATTAATGGTAAGACTTTGTCATCTTACTGTGTATTAGATACATGTTGGACTAACTAATGTAACACATTTTAGCAAGAAACAACAGCAACAACAACACATCTCGGTGCTGCTTTAATGTCTTTGATCATAGGTGTGGCGTTACTCCTGTATTAGACAAACTATTTACATTTAATGAAGCCAATTAGCTTTTCCTTTTGATTTCCACTAGGGACCAGTGAAGGTCGCGTGTTAGTTAATGAGTCTTTTAACCTATGCAGAAGTATTTTGGAGGTAAATTTAATATCAGCCTCTCAACAAATGCTGGTAAATGTTTACTATAGTCGAGCTCCACTCACCGCCACTTCTGTAGGCATGAAAGCGTTATTTGAAGGTCACGTTATGTCTTAATTTGTTTGGATGGAAAATATAACAGGACTTAGCCCCTTGTCATTTGATTAGTTGACTAATTGTTCATTATGGTCTTGGTTGACCTGAAAATTGTCAATTAGTTGTGTTTTTATGGGTTTATACACTCTGTGAGCATTGTGATATTTATTAGAAGGATGTCAATTAGCATAAGTTTTAGTCATCTGATATTACTACAATACATAAAATATTGGATAGGGTTTGCAGATACTACAGATTCTAAAGTCAAATTTTTTTTAATCTTCTCATCATATTATGGTTCAAGCTTCTTAATTATGAGGAATTACTGCTTTTATCAATTTTGTCATTGTGATTGAAAATCTTAGGGATGATGAAGTCAGTTAGTGATGTGAAGTCATCACTATGTGCACTGGGAAATTGTAATGGACACTTTGTTCTCATATTTTATGAGCTATAGACCAAATGAGAAGGCATTTGGAAGGTGATTTGATAATGAAAACGATTGTTGGTTGCAGCCCTAAAATTCAGTGGCATGCAGAAAAAAAGCAGGCCGTCTTTTACTTTAATAATCAGCTCACAAGTTTGACAGTACAGTTTAAGAACAACGCACATGTATATGATGTGCTGCATTTTGCTTCAAAGAGGAGAAACAGTATCTTATTGAGTTTGTTGTGTTTTTTTTTTCCAGCCTGTGAAACAATGTCGTCCAATGAACAACAATGCTGGAAAACTGTTTCACTACAGGATCACTGTGTCTCCTCCCACCAACTTCTTGGTATGACTTTGGCTCTGTCAGTAGCCTAAAATAGGAGAAGATGCATTTACAAAATCCACATAATAAAATTAATGCCATTAATACACAATACCTCCGACCTAGGCATGTAACGATATTTGTAAATTCGCGTTAGAATATTGGATACCGTTGTGGGACTGTGACAGTATCTACCAGGATATTACATGTGGTTATTTGGTAGTATAACTGCAGCATATCAGTTTTCCTGTTTCAAGAATTGGCACGGGTGAGAGGAAACTGATAAAATGCTTAACGACAGTACCGCTGAACGAGGGCATTGCTAGCTCCATTTAGGACTGAGACAGTCCTGGATACCGCTCACAGAAACAGTTGGGCTCTACACTTTAACTGAGATGAGCAAACAACCCAGATGCACGAGTGAAAAAGTAGACCATGATGTTTGAAATACACGTCCAGTGAAGGACAAATCTCACCTTTATGTGGCTTATTCTTATGTAGTTCTGACTTCTTCTCCTCGTTTTGGTGCACCAAGCAGCAGTTTGCTCACTACTGGTGGTTGCTGCCAAATAGAGCGCGTTAAAATTGCCTAGGGGGTAGTAAACACTGACGTCACATAGTGAGTGTGACTCATTTTGTTTAAATACCAAAAAATGCTGACTTGTTATTTAGTTAGTAAAGGGCTTTTTAAAAATTTTTTCTTATTTATTTTTATTTTTTTATACCGTGATAAATATCATATTACTGTGAGTTTTTGGTACCGTTACATCCCTACCTCCAAATGATCAGTAACAGCAGTCCTGCACTTACGAGTGTGCGTTACCCTTGAGGGATGGATCATTTACCGGTAACATGAACATTTTTATACTCATGGCAGTAAACTGCACTGGACCCGAGCTCCTGCTGTTTTTTGTTTCAGACTGACAGACCGACTGTGATCGAGTACGACGACCATGAGTACCTGTTTGAAGGCTTCTCTCTGTTCTCCCACACGCCTCTCACTAATGTAAGCCTGCTTTTCAAATTGTTGGCGGTATAGATGATAAACCATGAATTTTACACCACAGTGGCTTCAGAGTTTTGAATAAGCCTCCTTCTAATCCTTCCAATTTAAGTTTTTTTTTTTTTTTTTTTTAAATATATTTTTTCACTGTTATTTATTTACTGTGCTATTCCTTTCACAGTGGGTGTTTAGAGGGCGGTTAAAAACACTTGTATAGTTCTTGCATGCCACTTATTCCTACGTATAGCTACGTAGGCTTGAACATTGTAAAGTGACGAGAGGGCACACTCTTCATTTAGCTAGGACATGTCCCTCACTTTGACTTTATTTCACTGAAGTTTGCATCATAAGGTATGATTCTTTCATAATGAGAAAATGTTAGTGACAGAGTCTGATTCCTTGTTAAACAAAAGTTACTGAGTGATTTTTTTTTTCAGACCCCTTGACTTTTTTCACACTTTGTTCTTCTTTTTTCCCTCCTTTTAGGTCTGGTAAGTCACTTTATAACTCATTTAAAAGGAGCATTTGACCAAAGTGCTGTAGATAAAGACCAAATAGCAATAAAGAGAATATCTCAGGAGGGAAAAAAAGGGGTTTTATTTGAGACTTGAAGGTTGCCAGTGCCAGGGTAAGGTGTTCCATAGTTTTGGGGCCATGCCACAAAGGCACGGCTCCTTTGAGCTGTCTGTTAAGGCAACCCTTAACAATTTACGTCAGCATTTGAGTGAAAAATCCCCTCTTCCTTAAACGCCACTATCCTCCAATAACTCCAAACTGACTTTTAGCTTTGGGTTGGCTTCTGTATTGCTTGGACAAAGTGCTCCTCTCTCACAGTGCCGACCTTGTCGCTGAGCCTCTGCCTCGTTTTTGAAGGCTCATCAGTGACTGTCAAACATTAGAGAGGTCACGACTTGGTGACCTTCTCTTTCTGTAGCCGTTTGAGCCACATGTTTGACTTTTATCCCAAAGAGCAAGTTTAAAGACGATAAATCATCAAACCCTGGTTCTTGAACATTTGTTTAAAGTGTAAATATTTGTCCCCGCCTATACATGTGGGCTCATGTCTGTTATTGTGGATGTGTGTGTTTTTCCTGCATTTATGAATAATAAACTACTTGGTCAATATCCATCTGAGAAAAGCCCAGAGGATTAGCCATGATTTGAACTGGATAATTTAGGCAACTCCTGTTAAAAGCTGGGGTAAATGCTTTGTTGCAGTGTGGGGATTAGGAACCTCAGAGCCTGGTGATATTAGTCTCCTGCTAGTTAGCTGCTGGGATAAGCAAGAACAAATGTGACTCGCAGGTTAATCTCAAAATTGACCCCCACGCTCTGACAACAAAGACTGTGTAACTTGGGAGATTAAACACAAAAGAGGAGGCTTATCTGTTTAACAAGATTTGAGTTACTTAATTTTCAAGAGTCAGGTGCACGGCTGTGTCTGTGGTGGCGTGCCATGTGTGGGATAGGGGTTATGTATATGTCTGGCTTTTTAAGTTTAGGTTGTGCATCTTTATGCACACATTGCAGTGGGATTTCTTGAACAGACACTTTTTATTTCTATATGCATGTGATTGGGAGCATCATTTTGGGCAAGCTCCACTGCAGAGATGAGGTTTTAATGAGTTTCCTTGAAGAGCTATAACTTCTGTAATGACTCAACTCGTCTTTTCTTCTCCTCGTCCTCTACTCCTTTCATTATCACAGATTCCTTTGTGCCGTGTGATCCGCTTCAACATAGATTACACCATTCACTTCATAGAGGAGATGACACCAGAGGTCAGTAAAACCCCACTTTATCTCCCGGCTCTTTCGCTCTTCTTTCTCACCCCTTTTGTTTTTATCTCAAATGGCTGAGTCTGAGCAGAGCTGAGCCACACATAACCCTCACACCTCAGTGCCTGGCTGAGCCAAGGTGCTAATCCTTTTAGAAGAGGGAAATGAGATTCTTTTTAACCTGCTCAGGTTGATTACATCAATGACAGGGTTAGAGAACAGGATTTACTTATCAGTCATATCTACAGTAAGGTATCTGTGTGGCAGAATGCTTTGTTGAGTCTGCTTGTACACATGGTATGTCCTTTCTCTGTGTCCAGAACTACTGTGTCCAAGGTCTGGAGCTGTTCGCCTCCTACTTGTTCCAGGACATTCTTGAGCTGTATGACTGGAACCTGAAAGGTAATAATCCCAAACCAACGGCCACTTTTACAAAAGCAATTTAAAGGCAGTGCTTACAGACACAGTGTCAGTTTAATGAGGTTACAAAATGATGAAAAAGGCTCTAGTTCACTGATGTCTCTTTTGAGACATGACATGTTGGCCTTTTTTTGTTTACTGTACTTATTAAATATATAAATACAAATTATGTAAAGTAGAGGTGTATCAACAAAAATCTTCTTGACTGATTCTGATTTTTTTTTAAGTCTGACCAAATCTGATTTTCTGTTTCTAAGAGCATACACAGACATTTTTGTAGCTTTTCTTTAATGGAAAATTAGATTAGGATAAAAATAAAGCTGTAAAGTTTTCATTTTCCATCATTCATTCTTTTTATTTATTTATTTATTTATTTATTTTTTTTTATTAACAAACCTCCACCTAAAAATAAAGGGCAATATTTGTACTTCTCTGATCTATAAGAAATAATATCATTTCACACTTCTGTTCTTAACCCGATGTGAAAACCATGTTAGCTTTAAGTATAAAAAGTTGTTCTCTGTCCAACAACAATAGAAAAGTCTGCTTCTTCTTTCAGGCCCTGAGTGGGACAGTGAGTCCTCTGGTTGCCAGCGGTTCCACTTCATGCCCCGTTTTGTTCGATTCTTACCTGGTGAGCCTAAACAGCTTTGCATTGCTCTTTGTCTCCTTTTGTTGGTTAGCACAGTTCTCAGTTTAAACATGCAACAGAAGAGACGCTGCATGTTTCCACTAATGTCCAACATTTTTTCACTGGTGTTGATATATGGTGTGTTCTTAGCAAACTGGCTCATTTACAGATCCTGAGCTGCTGTGTAGCTGCATGCTATTCATCTTTGATACACATGATGGCGCTGGTGCACTGTGATATTTCTTATGACATCAGCTTCACCTACCTTGTTTCCATCAAAACACAGTTTCTCACATAGGTCTCCCAATGTAGTCACTTCTCTGCCTCGTTTACAAAAGCAAAAGCAACTGTCCAGTTTAGGTTTCTGCTGTAATCTGTAGTTTAACAGTGAAAGGGTACAGGGAATTACAGTGAAAGCACAATGATGATGGTGATCTGAAAGTTACAGTGACAGTTTTGTGAGGAGAGTTGACCTGGTTGATTTCCGTGCACATGAATTTGTATGTTTCTCCAACATCAACCTTGTTTTTGGGGTCATGAACAGCAAATTAATGGATTGTATGGAGGCTCAGCGAAACATTCTCCCTTGGGGAAAAAGTCACTGCCTGTTCAGTTCCACAAACGGTAGCAATAAAAGTGAGATGTTTAGAATTAACTGTGAAATCCTGTTTAACTGCATGTTCTGCGATGATGTATTTTTTTAATGCTTCTGCCCTTACACATTTATTTAGATGGTGGGAAAGAGGTGCTGTCCATGCATCAGGTGCTGCTCTACCTCCTGCGCAGCAGCAAGCCCCTGGTTCCCGAGGAGGAGATCGCAGACATGCTGCAGTGGGAGGAGCTGGAGTGGCAGAAATACGCGGAGGAGTGCAAGGGCATGATCGTCACCAACCCGGGCATGGTAAGCCCTCTGCCTTTCTGTTACGACGCGAGGTGGCCTCGTCTGCCACTTCAAGGGCATCCGCCGCCCCCGACCTCGACATTGCAGGGATAAGGCTGTTCCTGTTAGCCTGTGACATGAACATCCTCACCTATTATACCCAAGGGCATTTGCTGTCATCAACACTATTCAGGCCAAAGCTTTTATTTCACAGTGAAGTTGGTTAACCTTCTTGTCTGGCCCATATTTCAAAGTACGTACAGTAACTGTGTCTGGGTAAAGGTGAGGAAGTCATTGCTAGGTAAAAGGTTGCATATAAACAGTGAATATCACTGTGTAACCAACGACATGGGTGAGTCAGCTGCACTTGACAGGACCGAATTGTTGCTGTCAGGGTTTCCAGATAGGTGGGTGTACAATATAATAGTACTACATCCATACACTTAAGTTAAATGTTTTGTCTGACAGTGAAAACCACTAAAAAACACAAACCCTGTTTGGTGAAAATAGAATTGTCTAGGACATCCGCACTGTCAGTCTGATTTTCTTACACAGAGTTTGGTGGCATGTGGGTCACTGGTTAAGCAGAGATTTTATTATAATTTGATTTTGTTTAAGAGTTTTTAACAAGCACAGTTGTCTTAATATATTTCCTAGTACTGAAATTATTCACTTAATGCTCACAGTGTTGTCTGCATTACCCATGACTGAGTCTGAATGTAACAAATATTAGCTTTGTGGTTTATTGTCTTTTATTATTGTGGTTGTCAGTCAGTGAATAGTGAAAAACTAATAATTAAGATACCCTTGAGCCCAATATGTCCAATCACTGGTCCAAAACCTGAAAATCTTCTATTTACAATGGTATAAAACTAAGAAAAGCAGCAAATCCTCACATTTGAAAAGTGGAAACCTTTTTTTTTTTGTTCGATCAAATAACAGTTTGACACCAGCTGATAATGATCAGAGCTATCAAATCCGCTGAGGACGTGTTTTTGAAGGTACACATTTCAAAAACATACAGTAGTTGGTGCTGTTTAATCATAATCATGTCCTTTCAGAGCTTGAAACCTTCTCTCATTTTGTAGAACTCTCATCCACTGTTAAGTGGAGGTGCAGATGTCACTACATGACAGGGTCCAGTGCCGGTCAACCAGCTGATTATTTCACACATTGTCGTTGGCCACAAATGAAGGATCAGGTGTCATTAAGCTGTGGTGCACAGTAAATGGCCTAGTTTAAATAAAATGTCTGATTGTAAACTGGGATACCTTCACGCCTTCCACTGAGCCAGTCACTTCTGAATAGGTCACTTTGAAGGCAGAATCAAAGTTAGCCTGCGACCTCTTGCTCTCAAGTCAGCATCTGTATGCAGACCATGACAAGCAAGCGCAGCTAACGTCAAGGTGAGCCTGAGCCTCGAGCCATCTGCCGTGTACCTCATCACGCCTTATGCTACAGCCCCTTCTTCTGATCCTGCAAAATGCCTGACAGGCTAACTGATTTGGGAGTCAGCTGAGCACATGTTGCTTGTCAGTCTCCTCCCTGATAAGAGCATCAGAAGTTAGCTCTCCATCCCTGACAACACTTTATTATGGTTGTGCTAATTGAATCTGGGCCTCATCTCCTTACATTCCTGTGACAGATGACCCCATGATGAGGTTTATTTGTTATTTCAGATATTGGTAGCTACAGTGGCTTCAGGCCCCTGCACATGTTGTGTTGTTGATTTCATTTTAATTTGGTAAAATTACCATTTTTGCCATCAAACTGCACTCATTTACCCATAATGAGAAGATAAACAAGGTGAACACATGTCTATACTGTACCGTGACTCATTGTTCTGACTCCTTTTTCTCTAGAAACCGAGCTCTGTGCGTATCGACCAACTGGATAGAGAGCAGTTCAACCCAGACGTCATCACCTTCCCCATCATTGTTCATTTCGGGATCCGTCCTGCTCAGCTCAGCTATGCTGGAGACCCTCAGTAAGATCACATACATGCACACGCAGAAATGTCGACCAGCCATTCGTATCCCCCTTATAACTCCCACCCACTGCTTACTGCGTCCCTAGTTCCCTCTACTCCTTATTCACTGGCATTTTTCACAAGCACTGTGAGGGCAGAATCCTTTATATTGCACGTGAAGGAAATGAGAACGGCATATGTCATAAAGGAGGGGAGACAGATGATAGATGGAGGCGGGAATGAACAGATGAGAAAACGAGTGGTGTGACATTTTCACATGCGTTGTCACAGGTCCCACATTTCTGCTGGGGTGCCTCCACCGTGGGAGCTACTATGGTTTATGTCTCGTGAATAGTAATGCTACACACAGGGCTGCAGTAGGGAATACTGTACTGTGCTACTGCATAATTAAAAAAAAGCAGTGTAGGAGATCATGTGAGCTGAGATGTTCAGAGAGATGTGGCAACACCACGCTGAGCACCAATCAGAGTCAATACACAGCCTTCTATGCTCTCATTCTAAATTTAAACCTGAGGATTCCTTTATAATTCCAATATCTGGTTTCAATCACAACAGTAAGGAGGGAAATGGCTGTGATGCAAACAAGAGGATGATCATTAAGAAATCAATTTAGATGGAACTAGTTTGCTTGCTCCCTCTGCCTAATGTCCTCCCCCCTGCTGCTACATTTTAGCCGTCTGTCCATTGAGCGCTTTCATCCCTGTGCACCCTGCTGCCATGTCAAACTTCTCAAAGCGGCAGACAACGACAAATTTATGGATGGACTGGGACATCATTAGCTGATGCAGAAACGAGTAGTAAGAGACCAGTGGAAAGGATTTCCTACCACTGCTAATGATGCGTGTAGCGAGGCCAGGAGTCTGTGTTGATTGCAGCGGTGGCAATGCCACAGAGAGAGAGAGACTTGGGCACAGCAGCAGCAGCATATATTAACTCATGAGACTGAAGAAGCTGTGTTGCCTTCTTCTGCTTGTACTGCCCACTCGATGCATTTGTGTTCAGTAGGGGTGCGACGAGATCTTGAAATATTCAAATGTGACGCCGTTTCTCATTGAGGCAAAAGCTGTCTCGTGATACGAGTACATAACAGAGCCAGAGCAACAGCCAGTGTGACGAAACATTCACATTCCAGCAAAAATGCAACTCCCTGCTGTGTTTTAACGCACGGGGTTGTGTTAGTCGGGGCGGTGAGGGGTTGCAGGGGGTTGTGTTGAAGGCGTGTACGATATGGCCACGTTGTAATGAGTTGATGTGAGTGGCTTCATTCATCTTTCCAGCCCATGAGTTTACGTTGTGTTTTGGTTAGCCATGCTGCTAACATAGCCTACTATACCTTAGCCCCAATTCTACCACCAGTGTGTTGGCACTGATAGATAAAAAACACCTTTTAACATCCAGTACTAGCAAGAATGCATGTTGTGCTGTTATTGTGCATTAACTGTAGCCCAAATTCAACAGTGAATAGCAATGAATGTTCATGCTAACAAGGTAAACAAAATAGTCTTCTTCCCGTGGGCATCCACGTCTCGATTATCCCTTGTATGTGATTGTTCAGCGCAGTGCCTTTGCTGGATGATGTCACCTTCCAGTGCGGTACGGGGGAAAATAGTGTAGAAGGTCACACACAGCTTCAGTTAGAAGTTCAGTCACAGTTCTAAGGTCTGAAGAGACTGATGTGAATCATACAGGAGAGAAGCCAGTTGAGTTTGTGGCAAAACCTTTTGCAGTGCTGTATGTTGTTTTGTCTTTTACTGCATAATTCATACTCAGGAAGTAGAACTTAAGTGACATTCATTACAAGATGATTAGTTAAAACATTTCAAAATGCACCTGCATTGTTTTGCGTTTTGTTCATTTCACTTAAATAAAAGACTATATTTTGTCATTGAAGGTTTTTTAAAAATAGTGTTAAAATATCGCCTCTTTCTATTAAACTCAATATCGTGTATCGTCTCATCTTGTGAGCTAAGCGTATCGTCACGCTCCTAGTGTTCAGGGCTGCCACTTGAGCTGCTTTAGCTTTGTAATGGCAGATGAGGCAAGGATGATGACATGTAAGGAAAAGGGAGCAGGATGGAACAGGACGGCAAATGGAAGCAAAAAAGGGGATGCAACATTCGAGAAACATGATGGAAGAGTTGAATGAAGTCTTACTGGTAAACCCTAAAACTGGCTATGAAGTGAATGTTGTCACATTTACAGATTGAGGGTTGCAAAGTCTCTCTTGCATCTCACAAGCCTGAAGTTGAAATACCGTGCCCTGAGCACCTTTTTTCATGTATCATTTGTCTTAACCAAGCCCTCAAAGTTATATAAAAAAAAAAAACTGAAAGTTCCTCCTTTCCATTTTCCTCTGTGTTGCTTGAAAATGTTTATACATACTTGAGAGGATTAGAAAACACTGCTCCTGTGTCATGAAGAAAGCAAAACAGATGTGACAGGCAATGGTCAGACTCTCTCTCTCCTGTGCATCAGAAGACATTTGCACGCTGAAGTTGAGCCGGTCTCGGCCTCCCTGCGGGGTGGCTGTTGACTGTTTGAGTTGTGGCCAGCGTCAGCTTTCTGAGGGTCACTTGTCAGCGAATGGAGTTTCATCACATGTCGAATGGTTTGTGTGTGAAATAATCTTATTAAATAGCAAATGCGTCTTGTTTTTGTATAAAAAATAGTTTAATAAATTCAATTTTAACTTGTTGAGATAATTCAGTCTAAAAATATGTTAATTTTTTTTCCCTCATGGAGTTGGACAGAAGAGGATAAAACCCTGAATAAATCTTGCTAAATTCTTTTGCATTGTTGATTAAAACACACATTAACCTGCAAAATTTAAAATCTATCACAGTGCTTGCTGTTGTCCTGTTATTTTTGAACAGATCCATTACTGATCATTTAGTGAAAACAGTCCTTAGATCGCTTCCAAAAATATCAAGACCCTTGACATTTTGCAAGCTTCATTGTGTTTTAAATTTAATTTGTAATGGTCAGAATCACCATCAGTATGCGCTTTCTAATGCATAATGACAAAACGTTTTTAGAATTGTGCTCAGGTGCATCATAAACCTTTGTGATGAGGCATAGATTAGGGTGAGCGCATAAACCAGCTCTAAAGATTTTAGTGTTCCCAGGTGCTCAGAGGTCTCAGTAATTGTGAAATGGAAGAAGTCTGGAGCCATCAGGACTCTTCTAGAGTCAGCTGTTTGACCAAACTAAGTAACGGGCAAGAAGAGCCTTGGTCGGAGGAGACAGAGTACCCAACGGTCCCTCTAACAGAGCTTCAGATTGAGAATCGGAAGGACAGCATCTTAGCAGCTCTCCATCAGTCAGGCCTTTATGGTGGAGTGCACAGAAGCCTCTAAGTAAAGGCACATCAAACCACTTGGAGTTTGTCAAACAGCATTTAGAGGACTCTGAGAACATTACGATTAAGTCTCTCTGCTGAGACAAAAGCTGACCTCTGGCTCTATGTGTGGAGAACACCAGGCACTGTTCATCACCTGCTAACACCATTTCTACAGTGAAGCATGGTGGCGCCAGCATCATGCTATAGGGGGGCTCCTCAGCAGTGGGGACAGGGAGTCTGGTCAGAACTGAGGGAAGGATGAATGCAGCAAAATACAGAGAAAACCTGCTCCAGAGTGCAGAGACCTGAGACTGGCAATGGTTACCTTTCAGAGGGTCTGCAGGCAGAACGGGATCCAGGTGTACAAAGCTTGTAGAGACTTATTCAAGAACTTGGTTCCACAAAGTTAAGGGTTTGTAAAAGAGAGAATTCAGTGTTGATTTTGAATAAATTTGTAAATATTCTAAAACATGTATTTACATTCACTTATGGGTTATTGAGTGTAGACTGGAAAATTTATCAACTTAAAATGAAATCTCTACCACTATATAGTGTGCAAAAACTGGAGGGGTCTGTAGACTTTCTGAAGGCTGCAAACCATGACTTTAGCAGGCAGATGAAGCCATCATACTACATCTACCATGTAGAGTATGAAAGGGGCTGGAGATAGGAAATAGAGTCTGGGTAAAGAGGCAGCATATGCTAATGAAAGCTTTTACAGAGAGTGAGGAGATGCACAGCAGTGCTACCCTGAGAGCACACAGCGGATCTGTGGAAAGGTCATTGGAGCGATCGGGAACGAGGAGGCCTCCCAGGCTGGATAGACTTTCTCTCTGTCCCTTTCTTCCTCTCTCTGTCTCGTCTGCTCAGGATCCTTCAGTGCGGAGGTGGTGGTGAGCTGATAATCGGGGCAGTAAAGCCGTCTCATTCCCTCGTCTCAGTCTCTAATGAAGTCCCCACTATTAAAGCCCTATAATTCTTCTCTTCCACAGTACACCCCCACCTCACTTCTTGCGCTTTCTTCCTCCTCTCTCTCCTTCTCTCTCATTTTGTCTTTCTTTCTCTGTCAATGCAAAAACCCCACCACACTACTTCTCCATCCCACCAATCATAATTGAATAACTCTGAGTAAATGAGGAGAGTGTCCTGAATGGGAACACAACGGACACACTTGGCCCTCAGTGCATCAATCATTAGGTCTGATTGAAAAGGGGTTGGGGGGAGTTGTATGGCGGTGGCTACATGTCACCTTGCCGATAACTCCCTGGCTCTTTTCACGTGCTAATGAAAGCAAAGACAATGGGGATTTTTATAAAGTGAGAGTAAGGACATAGCGGGGTAGCTCTTGAGCTGCGTACCAGGGCTGCTCAGATGTTTCATGACTTACCAGAGAAGAAAAGGAGGTGAACTGTAAATTATTAGTTAGTGTGAACCTCTGCTCACAGTTCAAATGATGGACATCCCCTGCCCTCACACACAAGCAGCTAACAGCTGAAGGCAACGCTTAAGTTATGTTTAATATCAGGCAAGCCACAGGTGGAATATTGATTGCTGTTCTTGTTTCAGAACAGGAGTTTGGGGGGTGTAGACTCTTGTCAGGCTGACACCTCCTTATCTACTGTTGGCAGGTACCAGAAACTGTGGAAGAGTTATGTGAAACTACGCCACCTGCTGGCCAACAGCCCCAAGGTGAAGCAGATTGACAAGCAGAAGCTGACGCAGAGAGAGGTGGGTTGAAAGAAAACAAACACACTTTGATATTTTTTGTTCAACATTGCCAGGTGGTGTGCATTTGTTTGTGTGGATGTAGTACAATGTGCTTTTGGTCTCAACATTTTGGAAGCTCATTTCTGCAGATAGAGTTGTGCTGAAACACTGGCACTTGCACACTTTGCAGAAATAAGAGATCCTTAGCCATAATGTTCCTGCTGTTTGCACTGATTCAAATGCTGTTTATCTGGATCCCACCGCTGGTAGTCATCGCCTCAGTGTAGAGGATGCTGTTTCACTAACCACAAGAGCCACAGCTTCAGTTTTACATGTTTAATGTCTTTCCACAAGAGAGGAATGTTTACATATTGTGTCTAGGGCTACCTTGGAAAAATATGACATATACATATATATATATATATATGTATATATATATGTATATAAATTACATTTTCTGTAGCCTTGAAATTGTCCATTACATGTACGAGCAATATTCTTATCATTATTCAGTGTTCACTGAAAAGCCTTTTGTGGCCTTCGCTTCTCTATTTTTGGTTTTTCCTAACTCTTCAGACCCTTTCCTCCAGCATAGTGTCTGGTTTGCAGTTTGTTCCAAAGAAGGTCATTAACCTTCTTTCCTTTGGGCTTAACTTCAGTGATATAGACCTTGCTTTTATTTTGTGTGGAAGGATAGGCAGTATCTTTCTTAAAATGATTATAGTCAGTCTTAAATAGTCAGTTGCCTATGGCTACTGTAACCACCCCTTCTGATTATTGGTCATTATAATAAATTACAAAGTTTATCTGAATGTAATGTGAGATTTCAGAGGTTTAAGTGAAATCAAGGGGTTGTCTGGGCTGTAATAATGTGAACCTAAGCACACAATTTAGATACATTTACAGGCCAGAATAAAATGGCAGTAACTGCTGTCTGGAGTTTAGTGTGAAGGTCAGACCACCGCTAGGGACCAAGGTTGGAAAAGGTTTGGATGTGGTGAAGTAATGACCACGTTGCTACAAGGGAATTGCGGTGTATCAGTGTTGTGGCCTGATGCAGCAAAGCACAAGCGATTTGGCTGTCCATATCTTTCCTGTTGGGACTGCTATAACTTATCTACAGTAGATACAGCTTTTCAACCCTCTCTAAGGTCTGGAGTGTGCTCCAGATTCACTCTCTTCCTTTGGTCTGTTTGATACACTGTGAACCAATAATAAGCAACAACTCAGAGCTCAATTAGCTTGTATCCCAGGTAGCTTGGCAAAGCATTCCAGCTAGCAGGCCCTGACAGTCCTACTGTCAACCTGTAGTGGAGCAATTAATGAACCCAAAACATGCGCACACACACACACACACCGAGTCTATCGGGCTCCACCAGAAGCATTAGCCATGTCAGTGTCTCTTCGCTGCAGCGGCAGTGTGGCATTGGTTCTTATTTTATGCCCAAGGGAACGCTGAAGCTTCCTGTGTAAATGGTCTTTCTTTGAAAGCCAAATGTTTGTTCCACTGATGGGCTTATTCTACCATTAAGAATTACCCTGTCAGAGGTGTTCACAGCAATGTTGTGCTGCTTTAATTGGTTCTTTGATACCCCTGTGCTCAGTCTGGAGTCCAGGGAGCCTTAGGAAGGCCGCAGGTGTGTGGCTTGGTGACAACTGGCCTTCACACCAGGATAAATGCCTCTGCACCCATTTCCAGACCTCACGCAGAGAACATTTAGGGTTGTGTGTGTGTGTGTGTGTGTGTGTGTGTGGGTGTGTGTGTGGGTGGGTGGGTGGAAATGGTATGACAATGAGGGACATGCAGATGGGTGCCCAGATGGGATTTTTGCAAGTCCCACAGTCATAGATTTGAACTCTTGATTTGAGTCCTCAGCTCCTCTGATTCCTCTCCTAGAGATTTTTCTATTTAATAATTTTTCAGACATCTTAGTTTCGTTAGTATTGAGAACTTTGGCAGTGACCTCAGCCTTGAGTCTTCTCTGTCAGCTCAGCTTAGTGGATTGGGGATTTGCTCTGATTCTTCCTTACCGATGTGGCCAAGCTTAGTCAACCTACATGAAGAGAATCTCTGAAAAGGCATTTTCAACCCATTCCACAGATTTACCTTTGATTTCAAGTTTGGACTTTAGCCAGACTACACAAGGACATAACATCTGTTTTTTTTTTTTTTTATAGTTTATTGTCGTGTTGATTTCAGCGGGTTCATAAGGGTCATTGTCTTGCTGCAATGTATATTACCTTAATCTTGAGATTTTGACAGTTGAACCTGTTTATCACAAGTATTTTCATGTACTGTATCTGGTCAACATCATCAGTTGTCGAGTTTATTTATAAGGTGCATTTAAAACAACAAGAGTTGACCAAAGTGCTGTACATCAGTCAGTCAAGTTGCCAAGTGCTTGCTCAAGGGGCATCAGTTGGGTTTGTCTCTATAATAATAGCACGGTTTAGACCTTATTATGTACATTATCCTGAGATGTCTTTTATTGTGTTTTGGTGCTCTACAAATAAAAGACTTGAACATTTCCAACATTTTCAAAACATTTTCTGGTGTAGTAGAAAATATAAATGTCTTTCCTACAAGCAAACAAGACCAGAGAAACATGGAGTAGTATTTATTAGTTTGACAAAAAAGAAAATAAAATGATCAGCATGGTAGAAAAGGAAAAGGCAAAATAAAGGAGTAAAAACATGTTTTGGTATGTATCCAGTTGTGGACATAATGAACAGCCTGTTGAGTAGTTTGCAGTCTTTTTGTGGAGTACCAAGCATGTAGTTTGGTCTGAAGATGGTGCTTCTGAATTGATCAGGATTTATCCTGAAAGCACTCAGGACATTTCATGGCAACTTACTTATTAGATTATTATACATCATGTTCGCACAGCTGATGTTTTTCAGATTACATTAAATTTGGCAGGTGCTTTAGTCTAAAGCAACTCTAATATCAGTGTTGCATAAACATTCTTGGGAAATGAAATATTTTTCTGCACACCATGCCATCCCAACTAAGCCACTTGTACCAGTTTATCTCTGCATGCACATAACATTTAGTGCACTTGTACATGTTTACTGAGAACAGGTGCAAATGCAAAGATTGATCTCAGGGTTTCATGAATTGATATTGAAATGTTGACCAAGAGCAGTGGTTAGCACTGTCGCCTCACAGCAAGAAGGCTCCGGGTTTGAGCCCCGGCCAACCTGGGGCCTTTCTGTGCGGAGTCTGCATGTTCTCCCTGTGCCTGAGTGGGTTCTCTCCGGGTACTCCAGCTTCCTCCCACAGTCCAAAGACATGCAGCTTAGGTTGACTGGTGACTGTAAATTGCCTGTAGGAGTGAGTGTGGGTGTGTGTGGTTGTCTGTTTCTAAGTGTCAGCCCTGTGACAGACTGGCGACCTGTCCAGGTGGGCCTCGCCTCTCACCCACTGTCAGCTGGGATTGGCTCCAGCCCCCACAACCCTATTCAGGAATAAGCGGTGCTGATAATGGATGGATGGATGTTGACCAAGAGTCATCTTCTGGAAACAATGAGCATCTACTAAGATTATGTAGATCTGTCAGATACAGTGAGAATCAACCAAAGGGCCATAAATGAACCTGTGCCTGTGCAACCTGTGAACCTTTGCATGTGCAAATAAAGGGAATGCACATGCATTTCACAGGCAATGAATTTGGGGTTGGTGTGGCTCAGGAGGTAGAGCGGTTGTCCCCTAACTAGAAAGTCGGCGGTTTATTCCCGTTTTCCCCAGTCCACATGTCAAAATGTTCTTGGGCAAGACGCTGAACCTCAAGTTGCTTCTGATGGCCAGAGCAACAAAAATGATTGTCATTATTTCAAACAGGTCTTTTGGTGTTTAACCTCAGCCTGATTCAAAACACAAACACTCCTCTCATCAGAAGGATGTGATGATAAAAGTCAAAAGTGCAATGACTTCTTTGTTTGACCAGCTTAATCGCTCCAACGTGTCTTCCCAGTTAATTATTTACTTCTGTTCATTACTTGACCCTGTGGAAAGCACTTCATAATAGAGTGTTTACATATCATTCACAAGGTTTGATTACGGCTTTGCATGCACGGTGGCTGCATGTCCATGGAAGGATTTGTTGTGTGTGGTTGCGCATGCATGTGTTGTGCAAGGGCGAGCATGTTCACTTTGATGCACAGTTCAAAGTAGGATGGCATTATTTATTCATGCCTTTGTTGTTCTTGTTTCCCCTGTGAGTCAGAAATTCCTGGCGTTCCATTTTAGGCAGATCATGGCTTATTAAGACAGAGTTGGTAGCATCTCAGTTGAATGAAACGCATGTGTGCATGCACAGTTAGGATGTGCAGTCTGTCAGTACATCTTCTATCTTCGTTACTATTTGTAGGCCTCCTGTCTCAGATTCTTGTCGCCCACACCCCCTCTTCCCTCTCCATCTTACCGAATTTCCAGTTATTTCCTGTAGGGCTGACATGATGTTGATAATGTGTGTGTTTCAGTAATGGTTTTTGCTGCTAGTAGAGGTACCTCTAGGCTTGTTTGCAGTGGTCCTAATGGGCAGGCAGGTGCCTGGCTCTTGGTCCCTGGGACTAAAGCCACAGTGTCAGGACTTCTACACCCCTATCACCAGCACCGCTGCCCACAGCCATGCTGATCCATGCTGAGCATTGCAGCGCCTCAATTAGCCAGGACCAGCAGGGCTGTCACTTCCCCTCTTTCTTCTGTCCACTGTTGTACTCTAGGTGTGTTGTGCCATAGAGGTTTCACTATATTGCATGTGCCAGCCTGTCTGCTGAGAGAACATGACTGGGGAAAAAAGGGAAGAGATGAGGGCGGGGTGAGCTTTTGAGGATAGAAGCTGTCACCATAGGCTGGGTTCCAGTAGATCAATAATTGACTGGCTGGTTGTTTGGCAGGAAGCACTTCAGAAGATCCGTCAGAAGAACACTATGCGCCGCGAAGTGACAGTGGAGCTCAGCAGTCAGGGCTTCTGGAAGACTGGCATCCGCTCCGACGTCTGTCAGGTAACACCCGCCAACTGTATGCTTGCATAAACACTAGCACCTGCATACATGCAACAATACATACTCACAGATCTCACTCCTGAATGCTCACAGATACACCAGTCAACATTTACCTAACATTTGAAATGATACTTACTGAATACCTTGTTACAAAGTGCTAAAGCAGAGATGCAACCTCAGCGTGAACACAAACATTAATAACAGTTAATAAAATGAAGAAATTAGTTTATGATCATTAACATTGTATATAATTAGGGAAGTGCATATCTTTTTAATGAAAACTGGTAGCACAGCAGTTAATATGGATTTGTTGTAATTGTTAATTGTATTTGAAATAATTGGCAAAGACAGGAAATTGTCAATGATGCCAATCACAAGAGTTTAAAACCCCCAAATATTCAACAGTCCAATAAAATATTAATTTCAGTTCTAAAAATGACCGAGAGCCAATTCAGGGCCACTAAATGCCAAGTAATGCAAAGCACTAATAGCTAGGTTTGTTGCTGTTGCTTAATTATTGTTTGTTGTAAACCTCATCATCATACAGTGGGTACGGAAAGTATTCAGACCCTTTGCTGTGACACTCATATATTTAACTTAGGTGCTGTCCATTTCTTCTGATCATCCCTGAGATGGTTCTACACCTTCATTTGAGTCCAGCTGTGTTTGATTATACTGATTGGACGTGATTAGGAAAGCCACACACCTGTCTATATAAGACCCTACAGCTCACACTGCATGTCAGAGCAAATGAGAATCATGAGGTCAAAGGAACTGCCTGAAGAGCTCACAGACAGAATTGTGGCAAGGCACAGATCTGGCCAAGGTTACAAAAAAAAATTTCTGCTGCACTTAAGGTTCCTAAGAGCACAGTGGCCTCCATAATCCTTAAATGGAAGACATTTGGGACGACCAGAACCCTTCCTAGAGCTGGCCGTCCGGCCAAACTGAGCTATTGGGGGAGAAGAGCCTTGGCCTGGAGTTTGCTAAAAAACACCTGAAGGACTCCAAGATGGTGATAAATAAGATTCTCTGGTCTGATGAGACCAAGATAGAACTTTTTGGCCTTAATTCTAAGCGGTATGTGTGGAGAAAACCAGGCACTGTTCATCACCTGTCCAATACAGTCCCAACAGTGAAGCATGGTGGTGGCAGCATCATGCTATGGGGGTGTTTTTCAGCTGCAGGGGCAGGACGACTGGTTGCAATCGAGGGAAGGATGAATGCGGCCAAGTACAGGGATATCCTGGAGGAAAACCTTCTCCAGAGTGCTCAGGACCTCAGACTGGGCCGAAGGTTCACCTTCCAACAAGACAATGGCCCTAAGCACACAGCTAAAATAACGGAGTGGCTTCACAACAACTCCGTGACTGTTCTTGAATGGCCCAGCCAGAGCCCTGATTTAAACCCAATTGAGCATCTCTGGAGAGACCTGAAAATGGCTGTCCACCAATGTTTACCATCCAACCTGACAGAACTGGAGAGGATCTGCAAGGAGGAATGGCAGAGGATCCCCAAATGCAGGTGTGAAAAACTTGTTGCATCATTCCCAAAAAGACTCATGGCTGTATTAGCTCCAAAGGGTGCTTCTACTAAATACTGAGCAAAGGGTCTGAATACTTATGACCATGTGATATTTCAGTTTTTCTTTTTTAATAAATCTGCAAAAATGTCAAAAATTCTGTGTTTTTCTGTCAATATGGGGTCCTGTGTGTACATTGAGGAAAAAAATGAACTCAAATGATTTTAGCATATGGCTGCAATATAACAGAGTGAAAAATTTAAGGGGGTCTGAATACTTTCCATACCCACTGTAGGTGACTTTGCTCTAGTACCTCTCCACATACAGGTTTTCTGATCGATGAGGAACAACAGGTGTGCACACTCTCCTGATAACGATATGTAGATAATTTAGCTAAACTGCTTGCATGTCTGGATCCTCAGATTGACACAGACCAGTGCTCACTGCTCAGCTGCAGCAAAAATTTTGGCTTTCAATTGCCAAAATTTAAGTAAAGTGGAGTCCTCCCGAGCCTCAGCAGCCATACCCTTCATTAAACACTGCCTCAGACCTGACAGTTTGTTTATATAACTTCATCAGCATTCGCTATGGCAAGAGCACACATAACGTAAGCAGATAAACCAGAACGAAACGACACTGTGCTACCTTGATTCTTGGGAAGTGGGACAACATATGAAGCTTGTGTGCATAAAATTAAGCATGAGAGTTGAACCGTAACTTGGGAGCATGTTACTGCCACACTGTGTCTGCTGAAACATTCAGAGCTGGAGTTGTTCCTGGATTTGTTTGTGTAATGAAATGCATTATTTTACAGTTCTCTTATTTATTGTTTGTTGCAATATTTCCTGCCTGTTGGATCAGTAACAGGCAGGCCTGTTAAATCTGTATCTGTAATTGGCAGATCTTTTCCTCTGAACACATCCTGCATCACTCTCTGCAGCAAGGATAGCCCACAGCTGATAGTTAGGCTCACATTTAGAGAGGAATGACAAAGTTCTAGCCTTGCAAATCAGACCTCTCTTATAGCAAGGTCTCGCAAAGAAAGATCCGATCCATAATTGCTGCCCAATTATATTTGCTTCAAGCTGCTACGGCTAATTGGTTCATGAATTATTTCACTCCGAACTGCGGTGGTACACTCTGCACAACGTGTGACACAGACAAGAGATTACAACAACATTGACCCATAGTTTCTTGATTCTAAAAGCAGGTGCTCTGTTCAGAACAAAATTAATCCCCCAGTTACTAGCATCGCTCAGTTACGCCAAGGTTGTTTCACTTGAAAGGCTCTGTCAAGGACCAGGCTACACATTGGAGGCATGGATAGGATTTATTTATTCAACATTTTTCTCTTTTTTTTATGCCTCCACGCCAGCAATAGCCGCAGCCAGAGGCATTATGTTTTTGCGTTGTCCATCTGCCCCTTTCTTGTGAATGCACTTTGTCAAGAACATCATGAGGGAATTTCTTCAAATTTTTGGCACAAACATCCACTTGGACTCAAGGATGAACTGATTAGATTTTATTGGTCAGAGGTCAAACCTCACATCTGTCCCATTCTGATGAATTTGACTGGTAGGTGGAGACATACAACCACAACGTGGTAATTCTAGTTAAATTTTA